TGCAGACTGGAAACACGCATTTAGAAGGCATCAGTACTAGATGGGTATTTTAAACTTGGTAATTAAATGTGGTCTCTACTCTCAATGCTTCAGGTTAGAATCGAGCCCTCGTCTAAATCCATCATTAGTGTCTAATGTAACATTGAACACATCATGACAGGAACCTACGTGAATGGAGGAGGGGGCAGAAATGCCAACCTACCTTTGGCTCCAGCCGACGACTTAGCAATCCACACGTTGCCCTCTCCATCCTCTTTCTTTCTGTTATAAGAAGCCAGGAAGAATTCTCTTTCATCTGTCCTTGTGTTATTGATTAGTGGCTGGATTCCATTCTGCGCTGGGGCAACTGGGGTCTTGAGATTCATTGGATAGATCACGTAGGACTCGGGGAACCATGTGCAGGACTCGGTCAGTTCCGGGCTTGTCTTGATTAGCCTGGCAGATGACAGGGGGTCAGTCTTGCTTCTTACCATGCTCTGTCACTGCTTTCCCCAGAGCTTTTCAAGGAGGTGAGGCAGACCTGGTCTCCTAACTCCTCTGCTCTTAGCCTCCCAGGACAGGCCTCCTACTGCACTGCTGGGCTGTACACAGCTGCTAGTGCAACTGCAAAGGCACACCTGGTTAGTTCAAAAGATGTACTGCCAGAACTCCAGCTCTGTTTAAAATGCATTTTTTTGATAGGGTTTTTTTTGTTTTGTTTTGTTTTTGCTATAGGGCACATGTACTCACCAGAGAGAAAGTGAGAAATCACCTCCTGGGGGGATGGCCACACTGCAATCCCTTCTCTTCTATTCTCCTCTGAGGATTTTGGGCACGTGCACACACACACATGCCCAGCCTGAGTTATAGATCTCTGAGTCCAGGACTCAAATCATGGTCAACTACATGAGAGTCCAGCAACGTAACCATTACACCATCTGCTGGTCCCTAAAATGCATGTCTAAGGAAATTCACCTTGGCATAATCTCAAGTCAACACCTTCTCAACAAGTTTGTTAGGGCTGAGCCTGACCCACACTGGAAAACAAACTGGAGAGTGAAGGAAAATATTTAGATAACTGCTATGAAACCCAGGCTGTGAGCAAACAGCAGACTTAAAGTAATTGGGCCAGCTCATGGCCTGGTGGCATCTGAGCTGGATTCCACACGGTTAACTGCAAGGTTTGAGTTCCAGATTCAAACACGGATGAGAAACATGCCAGGGACATGGCCAAAATCCCAAAAGGAGGGAGAGAAGGGATCACAGTGTGGCCATGCCCCATGGAGGCGCTTTCTCACTTTCCCTCTCTGTCTTTGAGGAGGACAAGTGCCCTCTGGCAAGTTAAAAAAGAAAGTTATTTTAAAGTTAAAGACAACAGAATTTGAAAAGTACTTAAAGAACAAAAATACATAAATTTCTAACCCCCTGAATGTTCCACTCTGTCTCAGCATTGTCTTCTATGGTGGCCACAAGCCACATGTGGTCACTGAATATTTGAAATGTGGCCAGGATGACTCAGAAAATGAATTTTAAACTTTATTTACTTTTAACTTAAAAACCGATCCATTGTTGGGACCAGCAGCTGGCGTAATAGCTATGTCGCTGGACTCCCATGTAGTTGACTATGTGGTTCAAGTCCTAAACCCAGTGGCTTAAACTCATGCCGGGAGCATGTGTGTGTGTATCCAAGATCCCAAGAAGAGAATGGAGGAGAAGGGATTGAGGCATGGCCATCCCCCCTGGGGGGTGATTTCTCGCTTTCTGTCTGTCTCTGTCTTTCTGGCGAGTGCATGCATCCTATAGCAAAAACCTCTCAAAAAACAAAAACAAAAACAAAAACTGATCCATTGCAAAATATTCATCCATTAAGCACAACTGTATTGATTTGGTAGGATGACATTATACTTTACTGTGCATTTCAGTGTGTACGCCAAGCCTGCATGTGACAAACACAAACAAATCACTCTTCCATTCAGAGACAATAGACTGATTCAGTTTAAGTGGTTTCTTTCTGTGTGCTGATGAAACATTATGCTGTGTTTATTATGCAGAGAGTATTAGTTATCGGGCTAGTTAGCTATATAAGCCATAGCTGGTAACCAAGGGGAAATATAAACATTTTTCTAGTGAAAAAATAAGTAGAGGCAAAATTTTAACCTTTTTATTTATTTATTTTTTAGGTTTTTGTTATAGGATGCATGCACTTGCCAGAGAAAGACAGAGACAGAGGAAGGTAAGATATCACTCCCCAGGGGTGTGGCCACATCGCAATCCCTTCTCTTCCATTTTTCTCTAGGGACTTTGGAGACACACACACACACACACACACTTGCATGTGCGCACCCAATATGATTTTCGAGCCAAAGGGTCTGGGGCTCGAACTGCAGTCAGTCATGTGTAACCAGCAATGCTGTTCAGCAACGTAACCACAAATGCGGGCCTGCAAAGTTTTAACTTTGAAACAAAGGAATACTACTGATGCAGAACTGAGTAGGACACAGGAGCTAGAACTGTGACTAAGATAGTTAAAAAAAAAAAAAAAGAACTGGAAGAACGTATGTCACAAATTCAGAGAACGGCTGCTACGACGTGCCGGGCAGAGTGAACTGAAAAGCAGCTTGCAGTGTAAAGGAGACACTGTCATGAATTATGTGATGCATTTGACAAGCATGTTCTTCTTAAGTCAAAAAAGAATGAATAAAGTTAGCAACGAAAACCGCAATGAAATGCCCAATAAAAGCTTTTAAAACAACTTTTTAACAAAATCTGAGCTTTTAACTTCAGTAAACTATAAGATGGTTTTAATTCTTACACAAAAAGAAAACCATTTTAGATGAAAATGTAAAAGAAACATTTTTAAAGGAAAAACTTGAAACAGTTGATAAAAAGTGAATAGCCTTCAGTTAAGTCTCAATTGTCTACAGAAAAAACCTTTCTAACAATGTCAAAGACTATTTACACAAAACCTTTCTAACAATGTCAAAGACTGACTCAAATTCTGAAAAATAGTAAATATTTTTCTTTATCTTTTGATAAATGATGTGACATATGACTACTACCCAATTAACATTTTGGGTCTGTTTGCCTTTAAAAATTCACTAATATATATCAATACATAAAAATATTGCCAAGGTTAGCTGGTGGCATGGTGGTTAAGGCAGCTGGATCCTATGTGGCTGACTGTGATTCGAGTTATGAATCTGGTGGCTTGAAATACAGCCTGGACCAGCGTGGACGTGTGTGTGTGTGTGTGTGTGTGTGTGTGTGTGTGTGTGTGCATGCCCAAAAATGCCAAAAGGGAAATGAAGAAGGGATTGTAGTGTGGCCATCTCCCTGAGGGGTGATTTCTCTCTTTCTTTCTCTTTATCTCTCTCTCTCTCTGTTGAGTTCATGTGCCCTCTAGCAAAATTTAAATAAATAAAATAATGCCTGGTTTTAGTTTAAAACATTAATATATCAAACTCATTGTGCACTATTTCTGACTCTTTCACATATACCAAGAAATTTCACTTACATGTGAAAAATCACATTCCATCATGACACACAGGATTTTCAGCTAGGTGTATTAAAAAAAAAAAAAAAAATTGGGTTGGCACTTTTGCCTAATGGTTATGGGAGCCAGATCCCACATGGCAGACCATAGTTCAAGTCTCAGCTCCAGAGTCTTGAAAAATACACTGAGCATGTGTGTGTGCCCCAAATCTCAACAGAACGGAGAAATGGAAGAGAAATAATTGTGGAATGACTATGCCCCATTGCTGGTGCTTTCTCTCTTTAGCTCTCTCTCTCTCCACACCCTCTGGCAATAAGGAAAGTAAAATAAAATTAAAAAATGAAATGGGGGCCAGCCATGATACAGGGTTAAGGTGGATGGATTACATGCCAGGAAGAGTCCTAGATCCGGTGTCTGGTGACTTGAAAAACACACCAGGTGTATGTGGATGTGTGCCCCAAACCCTGAGAGAATGGAAGAGAGGGGGTTGTGGTATACCATCTGCTCTCCATGGGTAATTTCTTTCCCTGTCTTTCTCTCTCTTTCTCTCTCCCTCTCCCTCTCTCCCTCCCTCCCTCCCTCTCTCTAACAACAACAAAAAAAAATGTAATTTGTAATAGATTGATGTTTCTTTTATTATTTATCTACCACATGATACATATTAGAAACATACTGCATTGTACTCTGAGATACATATTAAAAACATTGATGCTCAGTTTCCCAAAGAAGGCTCTGCAAAGTGTCATGGATACATTTGTTGAAATGGTTCAATATATACTTGCAAATGTTAGAATGATTCATCAGTTCATGGAACTGTTGAGGGAAACAGAAGACAATGAATTTAATGATACTGTGTTCTTTGCCAATACTCTCCCCTCTATTTCTTCATTCGAATCACAGTTGGCCATTTTGGGGACCAGCAGTTGGTGTAATGGCTATGTCGTTTGACTCCCATGTAGTCAATCACGGTTCGAGTCCCAGACACAGTGGCTTAAACTCACACCGGGCACATGTACGTGCGTGCCCAAGATCCCAAGAGGAGAATGGAGGAGAAGGGACTGGGACATGGCCATCCTCCCAGGGGGTGATTTCTCACTTTCTGTCTGTCTGTCTCTCTCTGTCTTTCTGGCGAGCACACGTGCTCTATAGCAAAACTTCTCAAAAAACAACAACAACAACAAAAATAGTTGGCCATTTGGAATCTGGCTTCCTAAATCACTAGGCTATTAAGAATGATCCAATAGGGACCAGCAGTTAGCATAATGGCTATGTCACTGGACTCCCATGTAGTTGACTGTGGTTCAAGTCCCAGACCCGGTGGCTTAAACTCACGCTGGGCGCATAGCACACGTGCTCTATAGCAAAAACTTCTCAAAAAACAACAACAACAACAAAAATAGTTGGCCATTTGGAATCTGGCTTCCTAAATCACTAGGCTATTAAGAATGATCCAATAGGGACCAGCAGTTAGCATAATGGCTATGTCACTGGACTCCCATGTAGTTGACTGTGGTTCAAGTCCCAGACCCGGTGGCTTAAACTCACGCTGGGCGCATGTGCGTGCGTGCCCAAGATCCCAAGAGGAGAATGGAGGAGAAGGGATTGTGGTGTGGCCATCCCCCCGGGGGGGGGTGATTTCTCACTTTCTGTCTCTCTGTCTGTCTCTGTCTGTCTGGCGAGTGTACGCGCCCTATAGTGAAAACCTCTCAAAAAAAAAAAAAAAAAAAAGGAATGATCCAATTATTTATGAGTTCCTCTAATAATCAAAAATTTTAAATGGCAGTGTTGTTTACATTTTCTCACCTATATCCACACTGCATATGAACTGAAAGCTCTAAGGAAGGGAAAAGAAGTCCTTATTTACGATCCTGCCAAATGGGTATGAGAAATTATATTCTAACTTCATAATATAAATCAATAGTAATGATTTTTTTTTTGAGAGGTTTTTGCTATAGGATGTGTGCACTTGCCAAAAAAACAGAGAGACAGAAAATGAGATTATCACCCCCCCACCCTGGGGGGGTGATCACACCACAGTCTCCTCTCCTCCATTCTCCTCTTGGGGTCTTGGGCACGCATGCACACACACCTAGCCTGAGTTTAAGCCACTACATCCGGGACTCAAACCACGGTCAACTACATGGGAGTCTAGCAACATAGCCATTATGCTAACTGCTGGTCCTGATTTTATATATTTTTATAACATGACTCAATATGTAGAAGACTTCATTATAACAAACAGCATTATGAAAACTGCAAAAACTCTTAAAAATTAAAGAATACTTTGTTGATATTGATACTGATTAAACCTAGAGTTATTCCTTAATATATTCAATATCCCCTTGAATTCAATGTTAATAACACTGAGTTCACACAAGAGTTGGTGCATTTACTTAACTTGGACAGGCATAGGTTGGAAAACGATAGGCTTTATTTCCAAGTAAAATCAATTCTTCTCAAATAGAAAGTAGTTTTCCCAATGTGTGTGTAAATATGAAAGGAAATTTATTTGTTCATACTCAATTCAGTTACTGAAATATCCTTATATGTGTGGGAACAACTTGCATATGTAAATCTACTTCTGCGCTCATACATTTTTGTGAAATCTAAATTCAGATCCAAGGTTGTCGGTGACAATTTAGTGTCTGGATTAAGATGTGCTCTAAAAGTAAAATACACAGCAGATTTTTTTTTTTTTTGAGAGATTTTCACTGTAGGGCGCGTGCGCTCGCCAGACCGACAGAGAGAGACATAGAGACAGAAAGCGAGAAATCACCCCCCAGGGAGGATGGTCACGCCGCAATCCCTTCTCCTCCATTCTCCTCTCGGGATCTTGGGCACGCACGCACACGCGCCCGGCATGAGTTTTTTAAGCCACCGGGTCCGGGACACGAACCGCGGTCGACTAAGTGGGAGTCCAGCGACATAGCCATTACGCTAACTGCTGGTTCCCAATACACAGCAGATTTTGAAGACTCAGAATGAAAGTATCTATCTATATATATAATCTCACTATTTGGTTATATTAATTACATGTTAACATATATTTTGGAATCAGTTACATAGAAGATTACTAATCTCATTGCACCTGTTTCTTTGCACTTATTTTAATGAGGCTACTAGGAAGTTTAAAGTTACACATGTGGGGAGCGTTCTATTTCTGTTGGATACCCTTCCTTTGGAAGCTCTCATTCCTGTACAGAGCCGAGACCAGGCTCAGCAACAAGTTCTCTGCATTTGTACCATTTCTTCATCAGTCCATTTGGAAAACAATGGCTTTTTTTTGGAGAGATTTTCACTGTAGGGCGCGTGCGCTCGCCAGACAGACAGAGAGAGACATAGAGACAGAAAGCGAGAAATCACCCCCCAGGGGGGATGGTCACGCCGCAATCCCTTCTCCTCCATTCTCCTCTCGGGATCTTGGGCACGCACGCACACGCGCCCGGCATGAGTTTTTTAAGCCACCGGGTCCGGGACACGAACCGCGGTCGACTAAGTGGGAGTCCAGCGACATAGCCATTACGCTAACTGCTGGTTCCCAATACACAGCAGATTTTAAAGACTCAGAATGAAAGTATCTATCTATATATATATAATCTCACTATTTGGTTATGTTAATTACATGTTAACATATATTTTGGAATCAGTTACATAAAAGATTACTAATCTCATTGCACCTGTTTCTTTGCACTTATTTTAATGAGGCTACTAGGAAGTTTAAAGTTACACATGTGGGGAGCGTTCTATTTCTGTTGGATACCCTTCCTTTGGAAGCTCTCATTCCTGTACAGAGCCGAGACCAGGCTCAGCAACAAGTTCTCTGCATTTGTACCATTTCTTCATCAGTCCATTTGGAAAACAATGGCAAATGGAGCTGTAATCGTATTTCCAAGGATGTGATGCTTGCAAGAGGAAAGGCAAGCCTCTGACCTGCACTAGGCAAAACCCGAGGCTATGGGCCTGGGACCTTGATCAATTTCTGAAACTCCTTGAAATGGCAAGAAGAAAGTGTAGGCTGCACAGGGTCCTGTGTGGAATCCCATGGAGGGGCCGGGAAGCCTTCCAGAGGTATCCAGGCACAGCGCTGTGGGTTCCATTTGTACAGATCAGAACTGACCTGGCTCACTACGAACTGCTGTGACCAAGGGCAACTGGGTGTCCTCTCTGAGCTGCCACTATGTCCTATAAAATGAGGGAGATTATATTTCTAACTTGTCGGAGTCCTGAAAAAATGAAGGAAGCAGATGAGGATGATAACAATCTCCAGTGTGCACAGGTCACGTCGCCATTTACAAAGGACCCTTACAAATCATACTACGTACCACTGAGGGTCAAAGAGCAGGTACTGTCCCCACAATCCACCCCCATTCTACAGGTGAGACACTGGGATTCAGAGTAGTGCTGGCTGCCTAAGGTCACAGATATCTACTCTCTTAATAGAGGGGAAAAAAATCATAGAAAAGATCAAGTAGACATTTTGTAAACATTTCTTTGTGAATAATATGAATAAACAATCATGTTCCATTTCCACTCCTGATTTTCCACTCAATCATTTGCAGTCTAAATATATAAATATGTTTCAAAGGACTTCAGGAGGCCTCATTCTCCTTTAGAATCATGAAAGCCCATTATGAGAGGAGTGGGTATGTTAGTTACCAGGGCCAATGAGTCCAAACAAACAAACAAACAAACAAACAAAAATGGAGATATTTCTTTGAACACTCCACTGAGAGGAGTGGGTATGTTAGTTACCAGGGCCAATGAGTCCAAACAAACAAACAAACAAACAAAAAAATGGAGATATTTCTGTGAGCACTCCACTTAGTAAATATCTACAGCCCAGAAAGAAATCTTACCGGGCAAAAGAGCATCTTGCACAGAGTCATACCTTCCAGTGTCTTCTTAACTGAATGATTTGTTTGGTTACACACACAAGTTCGCTAGTCATCATGGAAAGAATACTAGAGGCCTACTATAGCCCTGATTTTAGGGGTCATGCCTAGGGTTTCTCCATTACAATGATAACACAGTAACAATGACAACCATAGTACTGGTAATAATAATGAGAGCTTTCACTTACATAGTCTACACTATGGGACAGGCATTATTCAAATCCTTTACATAAACTAAATTCATTAATTTTTACAACAGGAACAGTGAGATAATCCCTAGTATTAGCCTCATTTCACAATTTCACAGAGTAGAAAGCCAAGGCTCAGAGCCAAATACACATTATGTACTAGGCCACTGTGCTATATACACATCATATATATCACTTTATTTAATCCTCACAACCACCTTACGAGGGAAGTACTGAGGCTTAGATGGATAAGATTTGCTCAATGAGAGAGTTGGGGTTAAAACCCAAGCTGGTGACCCTAGAGCTTGACTGTTGTATTGGGTTGTCGGGAAAAGTCACGATGTATTTTTCTATGCAAAAATACATCGTGACTTTTCCCGACAGCCCAATATCACATTGTCTCCTTCTACCCTTTGGTACTGTTCTTGAGCAATCTAGCCATAACCCAACAGCTCAGAGATGGGTGGTACAGTAGATACTATTATACCCTGCTCAGATATCCTTTCTGAGGACCTCTAGCTGCTGTCAGAGTGGGCCACTAAGGACTTATGCACACTCTTCTCCAGGAACCAGCCCATGCCCAAAATGGCCTGGGAAGTTATGTCTTCTACCTATCTTGACAGTCAATGGTTTACTGATACTGGAGCACAGAAGCCTGGTCCCCTTACCTCAACACGCTACAATGCTGAGGTGTCACTTTAAGGATGGGCTGAGGAGAAGCTTCAGCTGGAACCACCTCTTTGCTAGGCCCTTCTCCTGCCCTGCCCTTCTTGCTACCTCATGGAGTTCTCATAAGAGCCTTCCCCAAGAAATCACTTACATAGGAGACCTTGAGTCCAGCTCTGTTACTAGGGAGCCTCATCTAAGAGACAAGTGGGCTTCATCAAGCACTGGACAGCAGTGTTTTGGACTGCTTTCAAAGCTGTTCAGAAGAAGCTTTGAAACTGATGTTAGCTGTCTGTTTTTTTTTTTTTTTTTAAAGTATTTTTGTACTTCAACTCATCCCACAGTTTGGCTTAAGTGCTTTAGGATGAATGCTAATAACATTTATGTGAGATTTTTAAAAGATAGGTCTTAAAGAACACTTACTTCACTAAAGAAGCTTTGCGACACAGTTTGTCAGCCCCCCTGTAGTAATTCACCAACTGCAGCAGCCCAGGCTCGTGACCTACGAAGGAAACAGGAGGCTCAGAAGGGAAACTGGACAGGTGGAGAACATGTCAGCACCAGCATGCAGAAGAGAGGACAGCTGGGTCGTGCCCCGCCCCATTTTCTCTCATTTCAGGGCCCGCTGCTAGAAACTGCACAATTTCACAGTCACACAAGTGGCACAACCATAAAACAATGCCCTGTGACACTGAGGCCATATGGAAAGGTCCCAGGTTCATGTCCTGGGGTCTCCCCAGACACACTAGGTGTGTGTTCACACCATGATTCTAGCTGGCTGAGGCTGAGAAGAGAATCAGAGTAAGGACCCCAGTCAGGGTGCTTATCTCTCTCTTGGCCTCTCATGGGAAAAAATTTATATATATATATTCAAGAAAAGAAGTCAAATAATTTTGTTTCTCTGTCCCTGAGATTCCACTTTTCCTCAGTATCCTATTGGTGACTCTCACCCTCCCCACCATGGATATTATAACAGGTTTGCCAAAAATCACTGCTACCTTTGTTTTTTTTTTTTTTTTTTTTCCCGTCATGGTGAAGGGTACTTGGTGCTTTGTCTGTTTTATCTCCCTCTGGTTCCACCCATACTCTTCTCTTAGGTGAATACACACACATTTGCAATCTTTGTACAACAAAACTTTATTAGAGTCATGCTCGCCACACCTCCAAGCTTCCACTAAGGAAGGCAGCAGAACCTCGATGTTGCTGTCTCAAGCATGTCTACCTCCGCAAGCTTTTAGGAGAGCTCTAGAAGGTGGAGGAAGGTGGGGGAGAGGTTGTGCCTATAAAACTAGAAGCCCTGAGGGGGACCAGCAGGTAGCATGGTGGTTGAGGTGCTGGACACTCCCACATGGGCAACCATGGTTAGAGTCCCAGACCTGGAGGCTTGCTTTCTCACTTTCCCCCCTCTCTCTTTCTCTGTGTATATGTCTCTCTCTCTTCAAATTAAAACAAATGAATGAATAAATAAAATTAAATGAAAAAAAAACCTAGAAGCCCTGAGAACTTTCTTCAGTGGATCATTCCACACAGAAACTCATTTTCAGTGCTCTTATTACGTTACCTTCTATATAAAATCAGGGCAGAAAGGATACAAATAAATACTAATTGTTAAAGTTTATGCTCTGTTTAAACTCCTAACAAAATGTAATGCCTTTCTAGAAAAAAATAAAAATCAAAGTGAGACCAAACAAAGGGGTTTTGAGGTGTTGATGCCAGAAGCAAGAAGAATGCATCTGCCTGCCTCCACCTCAGCATAGTCACATCTGAGACAGCATATAATGAGAAGCTCAGGCCTTACCTGGCTCTGCTGTGTCCCTGGAGCAGGCAGTCCTGTCACACTTGAACTGCCTGCTGTCACATTCCCCCCTGGCA